CGAAACTCCGACGAAAATTATTCCGCGGACGGTTTCTCCGCGGCCGTTTCTTCTTCGGTTACGCGGGAACCGGGAGGGGGAGGGGAAAAAGGAAAAGGAACGAATCGAGAGGACCGGTTTCGATTCAAGAAAGCGATTGTCAATCGCGAATACGATGATTATCGGAATATTAGAATTCGACGAAAGCCTCCGCGTCGATGGATTTCGCTTCCGTGAACACGTAACCCCTCGATATTTTCGCCGGAGCTTACATCTCGTAACACTATTTCCCATTCGACGAGAGCAACGGACTGGCGGCGTTTGAATATCCTTGGCTGCAGGTCGGCAACATAAATGGATTCACGTTGAACGGTGAACCGACCACCTCTCCTAGTCCTGCAACATACCAACTGTCGGTTATACGTTAGTGTCATTCGCTACAGCTTACAAATTACGAATATAGATATATAATATAATATATATAGAGAAAATTCGTTTCATGCTCATGTACGTATAGAAGGAAACTTCAACGAACGGGATAAATTTTGGTTAGAAGACTGATACACAAGATGAAGAGGATCGTATTCGAAATTCGTGATTAGGACACGTGGCAACAAAAGGGCTCCAACGATCGATCTTATTCGCTAAGTGGATCTCGGTAACGATCGGCGTTACAAGGCGGGGGGGGGGGTTTAATCGAGAAGCGATATCGAATTAACGAAACGAAGGAGGGAGAGGGATTTATCAACGATTGATAAATGAACGTGTGCGTACATACATCCTCGAATCTCTCTCGTCTCTCGTGCATGTTTCTCATAATTCTTTAATCGTAGTGCATAGGGTGGTTGTGGTGGTGATGATGGTGGTTGTGATGGTGGACGGTTAGCGGTTACTGGGCGGCTGTGGCGAGGTGGTGCTGTGTGGACCAGTGCGGTGGGACTGAGGTGGTCGGTGGTCGTACTACGGGAGCGAACGCACTCCCGTCCCCGGACGTATAGAAAATGCCATACTGTTCGTGCGCTAAAACGAAAATTTCACATAAGGGAAAATCATAAATACATGCATAAACGATTAACTGTACCATTAAACTGTAACAAGCTGATGTGTCCTCTGCGATTTCGCGCAACATGCATTTCGCTATAAATATAAAGCCGACAAATATCTACGTCTCGTTTCTTTCGAGAAAAAAAAAAAAAAAATAGAAGCGTGAAAATTGTTAAAAGTAAACGATGATTTTTTTATATAATAAAATTTGACAATGGACTCTTCGAAGCGAAGAAGAAGAATAATCGATAGGATCGATAGGAAGATAAAATTGGAAGATGCAGAGACAAGATTTGGAGATTCCTGTAGGAAAGAAAGAAAGAAAGAATGGTATACTTACGCGATGTGTAAAGGGTTGGACTACCGGTGTACGGATTGGCTACCGAGTAACTTCCGTTCGTGCTGTGACTGTGAGGCGTGCTGGCCGAACTTCCGCAATAACCACCGCCGGTCACAACCCCGCGTGGACTCGCGCTGCTGCTTTGCCTGTAGGCATCGGC